ATGATTCAATTAAATATCTGTCGTGTAGAATTATCGGACATCCAACGTGTTAAATGATACCATGTAACATGGAAATTAGGAAGGTTACATGTCATTCTCGTTATTTCAAATTTGTTTGAAATTACGAAATTTGTAAGCAAAACTCCTCATTTTACTTTAGAGTAGTATGTGAGTCCTCGGACTTCTCTCTCTCTCTCTCAGTTTAAGGACAACTGCCTTAGTGAAAAGAAAACTCTTGCATCAACAAAAACAAGTTTCATAGTTTGTTAAGCCACAAGTTTTAAATTTCACAATTCTCAGAAAATTTTAAATATTCTTAACACAAATCTTGAATATTTTAAATATTCTTAAAACAAATATTTTATCTTGAATTTTCAGCCGATCGTTCTCTAACATGATATTCCGCCAAATATTGAAGGGAAAATGTAATTAATATTGCTGCCTAGATCGGGGTTCCAAAATTTGATGGTATCAGTCTCTAAAACCAAGACAGTTCTTCAAGAGTGATGTAAATGTTTTGTCGATAAACAGTCCTTGAATTACACAGAACTAGAATTCACTTATTAAATCCTTTCATACCTTCTACAGCGCTCAGACACAACTATCAGTGTATAAAAATACTTTTTTTAAAATACTTTTTTGTAGTAAAGAACTCTAAAGTTCTTTACTACAGATTTCAACAACTTCAACCGATTGTTTAAGGCAGTGGTTCCGAAAGTGGTCCTCATTCAAGGTGTCCAGGAAACCTTAAAATTAATTTAGGAGTCCCTGAACAAAATTAGGGAGTCCGCACAAGTTTTAATATAAAATAATAAAATTGGTATACATTTTTATTTTGTTATTTACAATAAATAAAATAGTAGCGATTTTTACGTCCTGAGAAAAATATTACTATAGGTGGGTGCTCATAGTAAAGTATGTTATGTTAGTGCTGAGCGTTTTGTAACACTGTTTATGAATGAACATTGACGAACTTATTTCCACTGATTTGTCATCTGTAGTAACAGTGCTGAGTATAACTAGTTTTAATGTTATTACTAATTTTTGGTTATTGTTCAATTTACTTCATTAAAGTTAAGCTTTGAATTTCCATCAACACGCTAACAACAATATGAAAACAAAATAATAAAAAATAACAATACCAAAACTAAGATAATCCCTCAAAAACGAAAATAAAAAAAAAATCCACTAATACACGCCTATGATTTAATAGTTTTAGATGGCACCAGTTACTTGTTGGTAACAAAAATAGCAAGGTGCGAGACAGATGGCGGAAAACAGATTTATACAGGAACGCAATAACGCTGCTATACGCTTTAACTTGTCTACAATGTAAGCTGAAACTATAAAAGAGTCGTACAACGTATATCTAATCAACAAATTAGTTCTATGTTATGCTGATAAAATGGCGTAACGTACTCCCCCGCAACCTCCGCATAGCGGAGGAGGGCCCTAAAGACTAACTGCCGCCAAGTATTTACTCATTGTAGAATCCAACTTTGGGGCCCAAGACTGACTTTGCAGGGGACCCAAGTGTTCTCCGCTGCGCCATTGTCTTTATATGAAGTGTATAAACAAATTTTCCCAGTTTTAAACTAAAATAAGCTTCGTATTATTAGTTGGAAGTTTTGGATTGTAGCATTTTTGTATTGTTGCGCAGATAGTGTACTTTAGTTATGTAAGTAAATTTGAATAAAACTTACCTCTTTTGAAAAAAATGACGTGTCACATTTTTCATTATACGTATTACAATCCAAAATTCGTGGACTGCGGTCACTGCTGACGACAAAAGTTTAGTACCTAAAGTAAACCACTTGAAATAAACTCTCCCCAACCTCCCCTGCCTGGCCAGGTTTGCTTAGTTCATGCCATATGACCGAACCAAATGCGCAGCTGTTTTCTTCAAAACTGTTTCGCGGTGTAAGAAAGATTGCTTTTCTCGAAAAGCGTTGAACATTAAATTCTGTCAACGCTTAGGTAGAACACCAATGGAGATTTTAGAAATGCTACGAAAGGTGTATGGTGAACCTACCATGGTGAGATCCAAGGTTTACGAAAGGCCTCACCATTTTAAAGAGGGATGATAATCCATTGTTAATGTTGAACATGTTTGTCGACCGAATTCACGAAACGTGGAAAATGTTGTGTTGGTGCCTGAATGTGTTCGAAAAGACTGTCATCAGAATGTGGAAGCAGCATCGAAAGAGGCCTTACGAAGAAGGGCTTCCAGCTCTTCTTCCAGAATTTTTCCGTATGCTGGCAGAAATGTATCTCCGCCCAAGGGAACTACTTTAAAGGTGGATGTGATTCAGTGTTGTAAACTATTCAGGGTAAGGTTTTCTACACTTTTTCAAAGAATAAAAAAGAATCTTCTAAAGAACCAAAGAAGAAAGATACTTCTTCTTTGATTCTTTATAAATGTTTCTTCTCCAGGGCTGTTATCAACGAACTCTCAAATCTGAGTTAAGCTCAAATAAAAGGCTTACACCAGCAGTGGCAATCCACTTGCCAAACTTCAAACCACAATTTGCACTTCTACATATTTAACAAATACCATCTAGTCAATATAGTATTTCTTTAGGGGTGTCAGCTCCAGTACCCACGGAGGCCGTGGTACCCTAGTGGTCAAGGTAATGGACTCGTGGCTGGTGTGTAATGAATTTAAGTCTGGTTCCACTAAAGACCCCCAGTGCAAAAATGGCTGATGCACATAAAATATGTAGAGTCTCAAAACCCTCCTTTTGGTAAGATGTGGAAGTTAGAGAGAGAGAGAGGGGTGTTCCAGTTCAGGTGTTGCTCTTGTCACTTGACCATGATCACAATCACAAAGTCCGTCCACAAAAGCCATTTTGTAGCTGTATAGGGCGACGTTAATATTCACTCATTCATTTGTTCTCGTACCCACGAATGAATAGAAATAATTTCAAACACAAGGTTTCGACCACAATCACTCAGCTACCAACAGTGCAAACAGTTATACAAAAAGTCGGAAATAATATATCTAGCAGAAACTGGCAACATGGTGTTTTTTTGATGCGGGATATAAACTTATGATTTCATGCACATATAGTTTTGTAAGTTGAATTTCCCTACTAGTTGATAGTTCATTGAAAAGTACTATTAGCTGTAACTTATTTCATATTATGTGATATGGCCGAAGCCAATGTGAATCCCTCTGAAGAATTCTTATACTTTTGTTGTTCTTGCAGAAATGCAACCGAAGAAACGGAAAAGAATTTCACTTTTGATTTTCTTCCAGGACCGGGCTTTATATGTACACAGTGTGGAGAGAAATTTAATCACGGATTCAAAACAAAGAAAATTAACTCCAGTGAGGAAGGCTTCTCTTATATCTGTAACTCTTGCAAAAAGAAAAATAAAGAAATAGTTGAGAAAATCGTTTTTGCTGTTTCTCCGGGATTATGCTATACGTGTACACAGTGCGGAGTCGTGTTCCAAGCTGGATTCAAGAGAAAGAAAGTGAATTCAATCACAACTGAATCTCATCGCTGTAAGGTATGTGGGAAGACTTTTCGAAGACCAAATCAGCTGATACATCATTCATATGAACACTCCGATGCGTGGCCTTACCGATGCTCATTCTGCCAGAAAGGCTTTGCTATTCGTTCAAATTTAGTGAAGCATGAGAGACAACGTAGTACCGTACGCAAAATCTGTTGTAATAAATGTACAAAATATTTCCAAGGAAAAATTTGCTTTAACATGCTTTTTGATGCTTATTGTGAAAAGTGCTCCGATGGGTCCAGTCTAGTAGAATATGTGGCTTCTTATAAGATGTGATGGAATATGCTGCCCTAAAACCTTTGAAATAGATTGCGGAGATTAAAAATACTTAATCGAAGGTTTGGAAATGATTTTTCTTTGAAGGGTTCTTTGACACATTTGGAAGTTTAGTGACAATTCTTGTAGTTTGTGCAAGTACTGTTTTTTGGATTAAACTTGTTAAAATTTGGTCTCATTTTTTGTACTTATGTTGTAATAAAAATTTTAAATGAAATTTCTTTAATGTATTTTTTTAGCATTTTTCGAAATTAGAGCATTTTTCTAATGAATATTGAATGAGAAAATCGTTGCAAAATAATTTAAACATATATTTCTGATTTGTAAAATTAATATTTGTACTAATTTACGAAATGAATTAATATACTCATTATTAATTAGAATGTTAATATTTAATTGCACTCATTTTCAAGAATCTTTAATATATTTTCTTTTAACTGAGTTAGATAATTTAAAACTGATATATAACTGCCTTTTTAACACTCTTTTATTAACTTCACTTGTATGTAATAGAATTTTTGAACTCAATTTTTACCCATTTTAAAAGATTAATTCGAAATTTCCAGGTTTGGTGACTAATTTCAGATTTGGCGACTAAAAATTTAAGTTACAATTTAGTTCGATTAACCATAAAAACGGATTTTTTAATGTATTTAAACTATAATTAATTATTTGTACGTAAAAAAAACTAATATTTTCGTAATTTCTTATTACTTTTGGATTTTTTTAAATCTAACTAATCAATGAAATTCATATTCAATAAGTCGCTGTGTACTTGATTTAAGAACTGTTTCTAGCAAAACGCTTTCTTTTGAAAATCTTAGATTTATATAATATTTTAAAAATAAACATGTTAAAAATGCGCTTGCGTTTGATATAATTCAGAAACTGTGTGTATAATTCTTCAGTCGCTTGAAGATTCATTGCGAATTAAAGTAATTTAAATAAGAAATGTGGCCTTACTCAGTATATGTTGATGGGTATGAAAATTACAATCATCACATTAGAACCAAAATACCATTATTCTTATTATAAGAATGCTTATATAATATAATAATAATTATACGTAGCATAATAATAATTATAAATAAATAAGATTTGAAATACTTATAAAATTAAGATAAAATACTTATTATGAATAAATAATATAAAAAACAATTATTATATATAATAATTATTACATTATAAATAAAACAATTGTCTTCCAGCTAGTATAAGGGCTATGAAATTGGGCTTGTAACCCAGTGGGTTCGGGTGCGAATCCCGAGTAAGACGTGGTTCTTCTTCGGGAAAGAAGTGGGTCTTTCACCTGTAATGGATTCCCGTCTCGAAAGGAAAAGCAGCGCACCCCTTTTTGTTATATGCGGGGCTCATAACCCACTGTAATAAATGTGTATATTCTTCTGTTGTATTGTAATCTTTCTGTTCTGCTTCACTTGTATTTCATATGTTCCCGGATAAAAAGCACACGACAACTACAATAAAACAATTACATAATATGTATTAAAATTAATAATGAATATTAATTAACAAGTTTGATAACTTGCAATATTCCATAAAATTGCGAGTTCCTTCAATGAAATTTATCGAACAAGGAACGCTCCAAAAAGCATTATTAAAAAGTAAAATAAAGTGAAAATGGGCGATTTATAGCAATAATTAAAACCACATCAATCATTTTTTTCAAAAAATTTCCTGTTACTCACCCATGATATTAGAAATATCCATATGCGAATATTGCGCAATATGCAACAGAAAACTTATATATTCGCTTCTAGAAGAAATCCAATGGAAATGGTTGAATTTTTCAAGAAATTGAATTAAAATCGTCTGAAATTAAGGTATCCGACTACTTGCGAGAATTTCTTTAAAAAAAAAGAAGATATCGGAATTTTTTGGTGTGTTTTTTAGATTTATTTATTATAGTTTAAGAAAAAATTCCTGAAATTGAAAAAAAAAAATTATTATTATTAAAATGAAAAAAACTGGTAAAAACGTACAAAATATTACATAAACGGGACCCGCTCTGTACAAATATTTTACGAACAAATTCTTTATTTTTCAGTTTTGATATATTACTTTGTTATTAATGTTTCAATTGACCTTCAGGATAAGTGATAATTTAATTTTTACAAAAACTAGAGCATTTTATCTTATTGACTACATAAAATTGCTTATAAAAACACAGTCTATATTCACATAAAGAACTGTAAATTTTGAAATAAAACAGTGATTGATAAATCTGAAGGATAAAACACTTCTTCTATTACACAGAAAATACGCAAAAAAATTCAGCAAATTATTTTAAAACATTTTTGAGCAATCGCGGTCCCCGTTGGTGTTTTTCGAAAATAAAAACACATTTCGAGTAAAACGCATTTTAAAGTTGGACATTTTTTGTAAAGTTAAGGTATCTGCTTTTACTAAAACTTTTTTAGTTTTTGTTATAATAAATGGAATATAAAAAACTTTTTATTTTTATACAGCTCTCTAACAAGATGATCTATAAAATAAATTCATAAAACAAATTTGTCAATTTTTTTAAAAAGCCCTCCATGTAGAGAGGATAATGCACATTAAATCTGTCTAGACGCAAAGTTTTCTAGTTGTCATGGTGGGGAATTTTGAAGGGTGGGCTACTAGTCGGGATTTCGACGTTATCTCTTGACAGTGGTTCTCGTCGCTATGTAAAGAAAACTAGGGCTATCGGTGACATACCTCGATCATATGACAAGGACAACATATGGGCTGGAACCTTTCTCCACATATAAGATTGGCTGCCAGGCCGGAATTTCTATGTTATCTCTTGACAGTGTTTCTTGTCGCTATGTAAAGCAACACTAGTACTATCGGTGACAAACCTCGGTCATATGACAAGGACAACATATGGGATGGAACCTTTCTTTACTTACTAAAGGATTAGCCACCAGCCGGGATTTCGACGATATCTCTTGACAGTGGTTCTCGTCGCTATATAAAGAAAACTAGGGCTATCGGTGACATGCCTCGATCATATGACAAGGACAACATATGGGCTGGAACCTTTCTCCACATATTGATAGATTGGCTGCCAGCCCGGATTTCGACGTTATCTCTTGACAGTGGTTCTTGTCGCAATTTAAATCATCACTAGGGCTATCATTAACAAGTCTAGGTCATATGACGACGACAACATATATATAACTTAAAAGTAACATATACAAAATTTAATACTGATACAGATTATAATTGAGATCGCAATGTAGCTTTAGCGTCAAATTGCAATTTTATTGCAGTAAATACATTTTTGTTGTACAGGGGGCGACAAAAATTATGATTGAAAATTGGGTCGCCAGTTTTAAAAGTTTGAGAAACATTGATGTAGCTCAATGCTCTCCACTCTGTGAATCACAATACTTCTATGAATAGAGATGTTTTTCTCGGCTTTCAAAGAGTCGATAAATCGACGCCACTCCTTTTCTTGGTGACAGAACACCTCTAAAACTCAGTTTTTGGTCAATATATCGATTTTTTGTTTTTGATCTTATTTTAAAATTCAATCTTTTATCTTTGTTAATATGTTAAAATTTTGTTTCTATCTTAATTAGAAGCAAGCCTGGCAGCAAGTTTGTTGTTTTGACTTTGTTTACATATGCTTTTGATTTCATGCTGAAAGAATTGACAGCGTAAAAAAGTTTATTTGATTGTTTTATTCTGCTTTATTTTAACTTAAAAATGGTTAAAAGTATTGCTAGAAAGCGCAAGCGGCAATTTTATGGTAATAAATTCACAAACACTTCGAAAAAGAATAGCACTTCAGCAGTTCATGAAAGTACTGCTAGCTGTTCTAAGTTGGGAAAAGAGAGTTTCTCAACTGCAGAAGAAATGCCTGGTCCTGTGTTTGGTAACAGAATCGTTGACCTTGAACTTATTGTGGAAGCTTTTGCTCAACTTTGCTGCCCAAAATGTTTTGCTGAAAAAGTAGAACTATTCGAGGATTCCAGATATGGATTGTGCTCATATTTTACACTAAAATGTAAGTGTTGTGACTTTTTTTTTGCATTTGCTTCATCAAAAGAAGTTGTAAATGCACCTGTCATAAATGCCAGGCTAGTATATGGTATGAGGCAGATAGGCAAAGGTTTTGCTGGGGCATTTAAATTATGCTCAACATTAAATTTGCCTCGACTAACCAAAACTGCTTACAAAATTCAGGAAGCAAAGCTTTTAAAAGTGGTTCAGGAAGTAGCTGAGGAATCCATGATAAAAGCTGCTACTGAAATTGTGGAGAAACAACAAAATCTCTCATCCGATATTGTAAAATGTGGCATATCGGTGGATGGCACATGGCAACGAAGAGGCTATACATCTATGAATGGCTGTGTAGTTGCAATATCAGTTGATACTGGTAAGGTGTTAGACATAGAAGTTATATGTCTTCCTACTGTCCAACATGTAAGAGACTTCAGACTATGCCAAGAAACTTTGAATATGAGTCGTCAAAAGCCGACCACATATGTCAGTGTAATTTCACAGACTCTTCATCAAAAATGGAAATTGTGGGGGCTTCCCGAATATTTCTTCGATCTGAAAAAAACCGCAGACTGCAATAGACTCAATATTATGGGGATGGCGACTCAAAAGCTTTCATGAGTGTGAAAGGCACTTACGGATTAAACAGGGTGACCAAGTTTGAGTGCATTGGCCATGTACAAAAGAGAGTGGGTTCGCGTCTGAGAAAACTGAAAACTAAAACTAAAGGACTGTCTGGTAAAGGCTAATTAACTGATAATTTTATTGACCGACTACAAAACTATTACGGAATTGCTATTCGGAGCAATGTCGGTAACTTAACTGCCATGCAGCAAAATGTAATTGCTGCGCTATATCACTGTGCATCAAGTGATAAGAAACCGATGCATGGTCAATTTCCAATAGGGAAAGAAAGCTGGTGTTATTTTCAGCGGGGCGTGGTAAATGGAACAAAATGTTTCACAAAATATGCTGGTTTATCAAATGATGTTTTAAATAAAATTAAACCAGTATATTTAGAACTATGCGACAAACAAATATTAAGTAAGTGCTTGCATGGACGCACGCAAAATGCCAACGAGTGTTTTAATGGAATAGTTTGGCAAAAAGTACCGAAGGAAGTATTTGTTTCGCTCAAAACAATTAAATTTGGGTCGTATGATGCTATTATACACTTCAATGAAGGATTAAATGGGTGTCTAAAAGTTTTTAATAAAATGAATATTGAAAACCCCTGGGGTGTTTACCTTACGGGGATATAAACATTTAGATAAATGCAGAATCCGTGAATCAATTCATAATGCAGACCCCAAAACATAGAAAAACAGGAAAATTTTAAGAGCACTTAAAAAGAAAAAAATTAGTGTTTTAGAAGTCAAAGATGGGAAGAATTATAAATCTGGTGCATTTTAATAAGAAAGTAAGTGTTTATCTTGTAATCAGAATAGTTTAATGTTATTTTTGTCTTTTTCTCAAAATGAATTTTTTTACATTTTTTTTTACCGCAAAACACAATATCTCAAAAAGTTATGCTTGAATGATGTAAAATTTTTATATGTATGTTTTTTAAATACTTATACAGGGAATAGACCATTCATAAGATTTTGTGTTGAGTAGAAATTTTTTTATATAGCAATAAAGTAAAAATTACAATAGCTTTTAAGAAAATTTCAACGTATAGAAATTCGAAACACAATAAGTTCCCACGCAATGGTCATATTACAAAAATAAGAGTCTATTCTCTAGATAAGGTTGTATGCTATATTATTCAATTTACAAAATGTCAATATATTTATTTTATTTTCGATTATCATGTTTTGCGTAAAATATTATTTTTGCTTATTTTTTTTATAAAATACCCATTTGACAGTAAAAATGTGCACTAATAAAACTTTTCTTGGGTGTTTTTCTAATTTTAGAGACCCATAAGGTCATAAAATATGCATTTACTGGCAAAATTCAGGTTAATTCAAAAAATTTTCTTTAAAAGTGTATAAACATTTAGATAGATGCAGAATCTGTGAATCGATTCATAACGCAGACCCCAAAACAAAGAAACACAGAAAATTTTTAAGAGCACATTAAAAGAAAAAAAATAGTGTTTTAGAAATTAAAGAGGGAAAGGATTATAAATCTGGTGTATTTTATTGATAAAGTAAGTGTTTTTCTTGTAATCAGATGAGTTTAATGTTATTTTTGTCGTTTTGCTCAAAATGAGTTTTTTCACATTTATTCTCACCGCAAAACACAATATCTCAAAAAAT